ATGATAATGAAGATGAAAATTCAGCCAATCAGATTGCAGGCAAAATACCCAACTTTTGTGTGCTGCTCCATGGCAGCCTAAAAGTGGAAGGAATGGTGGCAATAGTTCAATTAGGGTAAGTAACTTTGTTTCCCTTTGGTTGTGTGAAAGGTAGAATCAGTTTACAAAGTGAAGTATTCCCCAGACTTTTCTGAAAGAAATAGAAAGGTCCTTGTCACCTTTTTCCTCTCCCTGCTATACACTTCCCACCTATTATCACCTTCTAAACTGCTCTTTAAATGATCCCCTAGAATAAGTACATAATGAGCTTCTTAATTGCGCTGCTTTTATATTATATCCTTCCTTAGTTTTCCTGTTTCCTATTTTATCAAGAAACCTGGGTTCAATTATAGCAATGCTACTAACTTGCTATAAAATCTTATGCAGTATTCATAAGCTATAAAATGAGGTAGAACTAAATGAAAAAAGATGCTGATGCCATTCATTGAACATTTTACTGTATGCTTCTCTAGGCATTTACCATATATTTACCCACTTAACCCCTCAAAACAACGCTATACAGAAAGTATCAGTATTATCACCATTCTATCAATGAGGAAAATGAGGCTTAGAGAGGTCAAGAAACTTGCTCAAGGTCACATAGCTAGTAAATGAAAGAGCCAGGATTCTTACCCTTGCATCCTGACTCCAGAGCCCATGCTTATAACCACTCTGCTATATTCCTTCCCTATGAGGAAAGCCCTTCTAGCTTCCACATTCACTGCAGTCTCAAAATTTGCAAAACTTACCTGCTTCTCTTTCTGTGATACCCACTGTGAGGACAGAAGAGGTGACTGATCATCTTTTGGTCATCACCTGGGGTTGACTAATGTAGAAGACCAAGAGGTTAGGAGTACTCAGAGAAAGCATGGCTCCATGTCTGCTTGAGTGAAAATTAGCTGGTCCAAAAAGAAAACTGCAGTTCTTGTTAGCTATTATTATAGTTTGCTGTATTTCTTGGTACCCAAGCTACTTGTACTGGCTCTGAATATGAGAATCACCTGGGGCCCTTTGAGAAGTGGGAGCAAAGCTGGCTGATGGCTTTGTGCTCTGTGTTACAAGGGCTGCTCTGTGTTGGTGCCCTCCCTCCTCACCACCCCTGCCCCTACTTGCTGCCCTTGTGATTTTTTTTCTCTTTTAAGACTGTTTTTGATTGCCATATCTACATAATTGAATAAAAATACATTGTCCCAGAGGAATGGTAATATTAGGGGGCAGCAGTATACATTTTCAGGTTTAAGATTTGGCTTTAGTAAAATTAATGCACCTGATTTCAAAGCTGACCCATGTCACTCGAGAAAACCACAGGTGAGATGTATTGAACTTGATAATCCCAGGCTTGACGTTCTGATGTTCCATCTTCTCTCTATCTAGTCCTGAATGGCATGGAATGCTCTACTCCCAAGCTGACAGCAAGAAGAAATCAAACCTCATGATGTCTCTCTTTGAGCCTGGCCCAGAACCTCTCCCATGGCTAGGGAAAATGGCACAGTTGGGTCCTATTTCAGGTATATCCCAGATCAGATTTTATTTATCTTGACTTTGTTTTCTCTCTGCTGTTCTGAATGGCTCTGACTGTGCAGTCAGAGAGCTGTGTGATCTCCCCTATGGGTGTGCTGTGGTTTCTGATACTGCATATGTACATGGAGAACCCCAAGAGAGTTTGATATGTGAACGTTTAACTTTATCGCTCAGGAAGAACCAACATTTAAGTTGCTTTAAGTACATATAAATGCTCCAACTGCTTCGAGTGAAAAGCTACTCTCCATAAACTTTTTTTTCCTTAACGTACATTTTCCTTAGTATAATTTTCAACCCAGGTAACGTCCAGTCATTCCTAGGTAATTTAATCCCCTTCCTTCTTGAAAACAGTTTTCCCTTGGCTTTCGTAACATTGCATTCTTCTGGTACTTAGCTTTCTTTTTTGCAACTTTTTCTTTTCATCTTTTCTTCTTTTTGCCTCATGATTCCCAAGATGTTGTTGTTGGCATTCTTCTCTTGGGTTATTACTCTCTCCTGGTTATTTCATCAGCCATTATAGCTTCAGATTCCCCCAAATCTATAACTCTAATCTGGCTTGATCTCTCCCTGGAATTTGCGTATTGTATTTCCACTTTCCAGTTGGACCTCTGCCAGTCCTAAGGTCAGTATGTTTGTTACAGGAACCATTGTCTCACACCCCTTCCCTCTTAAACTATTCCTTTTTCTGATTTTCCTGTTCCTTCTGATGGAGGCCTTGTACTCCTCGGTACTCAGGCTCCAACTGTAGCGTGATCCTTGATTCATTTGGACCCATTTCAATTTCCAGAACATCTACCAAGCAACCTATTTTGTGCCAGGTCTAGAGGATAAAAGAGTTAGCAGGAGTTGCTCAGAGTCTAGTGGAAAGTGGAATAATGAACACAGACTGACACAAGATCAGAGTTGGCCTGCAGGGGGGATGACCACCTCTGCCTAAAGGACTCAGGAAAATCTCACAGAGAAGAGATACTCTACCTGAGGGGGGATGGGGGGATTTTCTGAGCCAATGAAGGAAGAAGAGCATCCTGAAGAAGTGAAAACACCTATAGAGAAAGGAGCGCTGGAGCACAAAGTGTGAGGGTGGAGTGGGGGGGCCAGATGGTAGGTTACAGGTGGGCAGTGGCTAGAGCACAGCAGGCCTCATCTGAAATGGGAAGAACTGAGGCTTCATTCTGCAGATACTGGGAGCCCCTGAAGGGGAGTAATGTGATCAGATCCTTCCAGCTATGATAAAAACAGTGGAGATACCAGTTAGGAGACTCTGTATTCTAGGTATTGGTGCCCCCTGGAGTTGTGCAATATGGCCAGAATCCAAGTAAGAGATAGTAAATTTGCATTTAGAAAGATAATTGTGGTGTGTGGATTTGAAAAGGTAAGGACATCCTGCAGTTAGAAGTCAATTGTGCTAGTCCTAGTGATGTGAAGGTGAGAACCAGAACAGGGGCGGTGGCTGGGGACAGAGAAGATGGGATCCATGCTAAAGATGTTAAGGGGTTAGAATCAACAGTGTTTAGATAGGAGAATAAAGGAAAGAAGAGAGTTGAGAGTGATCCCACGTTTCTAACCTGGGCTGCAGGGTAACAGGTGGTACTATTCGTTGAAACAGAGAACAGGAGGAGGAAGGATAGATTTGGGAAGAGCATCTCTGTGCATGGTGAGTTATGCCTGGGAGATTTAGGTAGAGATGCCTAGAGACAATTCCTGGAAGAGTCTGGAGTTCAGGAGAGAAGGCAGAGTTAGAAATATAATTTTTAGTTATAAGCATCACTGATAGTTAAAATGGTGAGAATGAGGGAGATTACTTAGGGCGATGGTTCACAGATTTGATTTTTTTATGTACAAAAATGGAGAACTTTTGTAAAAATTCTGTTTCCTGGGCCCTACCTACAGAGATGCTGATTCAGTAGGATAGAAGGGACTATCCTCCTCTCTCTAGCATTCCTACATTCATTCTGCCTTTTCCTTCTCACTGCTCTCACCTTGTTTTGGCTGTGTTTAACTTTTACTTAGATCAGAGGTCAGCTAACTACAGCCTGCAGGCCAAACCACCCCACTGCCTGTATGTAGATAAAATTTTATTATTACACGGGCACACACATTCCTTTTCCATATTATCTGTGGCTGCTCTCCTGCTTCGGTGGCAGAGTTGTGTAGTTACAACAGAGACCATATCACCCACAAAGCCTAAAATATTTACTGTATGACCCTCTACAGAAAGAGTTTGCCAACCCCTGATCTAGATATTGTGATAGTTTTCACCACAGATGCCTGTCTATAACCTGAGATGGTGGCATTCAAACTCCTTTCTGTTTGGCTTCAACCTAGCAATGCTTGTCTTGTTATACGTATTCTTCATTCAAATTGAACTACTGTTTACTCTGCCTTATATATTTATGTTCTTTTTTTCCTCTGGGTCTGTTCTTTTCAATGAGGGTAATAGGAACTAACATTTTATTGAATTTAATTTTGTTCCAGGCACTGTGCTAGACACAATGAAATGTATCATCTCATTTAATTCTCACAACAATTTTATGAGGTTGGGATTGCCATTATGGTAACAAGTAATAATTGATAATGAAACCTATGTTAGATGGTTGTTGATAGTATTGAGGGAATGTGTATACAGTGCCTGATACAGTCGGCACACAATAATGCTGGATCCTGCTGTTTTTATTTATTTTTTTAATCAAAGCATGCAAAATAGTACTGTTGTTTATACCTGTCCCTCCTACTCCTAATTCTGTTCCTAGAGATAATTACCATATCTTGCCATATATAATGTGCACTTTTTTGCTCAAATTTGTGAAGGAAAAATAAGGATGCACGTTATACATGGGTAGTACTAATTGTGTTATCTATATAAATGTTTTGAATTCTTTTATTTATGTTTACGAGTTAAAAGTGTAACTGTAGAAATCAATAATGATATCTGTCTGCAAAATACCCTGGATACCATAATCATTTTGTTGGACTTGCATCGACAAAGAGTTCTTGGCCTTCTAATTATGCATAAATATCATAAATTTGTTACTGGTACATAAAATTTCTTGTACCATAATATGTTAAAATATAAATGCTAAAATTCCTTTATAATACAAAAAACTACCTAAATGTAAACAAATAAAAATTTGAATTAAAAAATTAAAAGTGAAAGTTTTTTTCCCTGAAAGTTTGGGCCAAAAATGTGGGTGCATATTATACACGGAAGCTAGTTATACACGGCAAAATACAATACTTTCAAGTTTTGTTTCTTTTGGTATTTACTTACATTTCTAAATAATATAAGTATGTAACTATTTCTTGCCTTTTTTTTTCATTGCAAATGTCTTTTTTTACTTTTTAAGGATGACCACTTAACCTCCTTTACCACCACCATCCCCACCCCATCCATCCACCCAAGAAGCATGTTTTTCCTGCCTCTATCCTTCCAGTGTCCTTTTTGGTTAAATCAGTATTATGTCCTTGTTAGATGATGTAAATGTTATTTATAAGTAAGCCATGTGGTATATACCAAGTTACATTTCTTTGTTTTACAGCTGTTGTCCTCTACCCCAGTTGCTACTTTCTTTTTTTTTTTTAGATTTTTTAAATTTTTTTTCTAATAGCCAAGATAAATGTAGTCTGACTGACTTCAGTTAAATGGAAGGCTCTACTGGAAAGACACTGAGGTTCCTCAGAGGCTCCAGAAAAGAGCTGAGCAGCCAGGCTGTGGGGGAGCCGGCCGTACATGAGTGCAGCCCTCACTCCAGCTTGCTCATGGCCTTCCTCTACTTTACTTTTTTTATTCTTTGCTCTTTTTTGTGTACCTATCACTAATTCCTATCTAAGTGAAATACATTCTTCAGGTATTTTTGTCAGTTTTCTTTTTTTGTTTCTTCGAGTCATCTCCCTTCCTCTTGTTTCATAAATGGACTGGTTGTTCTCTCGGCCCTCACGTGGTTGTCATCCTGAGTCTTCCCTTCACAGCTCTCCTATGGATCTCCTATTTCATGAATCCTCCTGAGAAAAGGGTATATGGGAAGTAAATGTTTGAAATCTTGCACATTTAGAAATGTCTGTATTTCATCCCTTACACTTGATTGCCAGTTTGGCTGGGTTATTGAGTTCTGTTGGGTTGTCAGAAAAGTTATGATGTATTTTTTCTATGTTTTTCGTTGCAAAACTGTGTCATGACTTTTCCGACAACCCAATAGGTTGGAAACCATTTTCCCTTAGAGTTTTGAAACATTGCTGTGTTGTCTCTTCCGGCTTCCAGTGTTGCTACTGAGAGCCTAGTGCCGTGCTGACTGCTTGGGCTTTGCCCCTGATCTGCATGTCCTCTTCGCGCCTTGAGGCGCCTCCTCGTGTCCCTGGTGTTCCGGATTTGCAGGAATATGTACCTCGTTGTTCTCGTCATTCATTGTGCTGGACACTCAGTGGGCCCTTCCATCTGGCAGCTCATATTCTTCAGCCCTGGGAACATGAGTTATGTCTTTGATTTTCCTCTCTCTATATTCTCTGTTCTCCCTTTCTAGAACATATGTTTATGTTTTGTGTGTGTGTGTGTGTGTGTGTGTGTGTGTGTGTGTGTGTGTGTGATTTTCTTATCCTACCCATTTTTCCTTTTTTTTTCTTTTCATTCTACCTTCTATGAGGTATCTTCAACTTTTTATCTTGCAACTGTTTTTTTTCCTGCTATCATATTTCTTATTTCTAAGAGTCTCCTGTTATTTTTTCATAAAAGCAGTATTTCCTGTCAGCTAAGCTAGTTTTCACATATAGATTCCAAACAATTAGAGACAGTACAAGATAGACTATGATTAGCTGTTGAAATGTTTGGTACTGATACTGAGTCTATAGAATAGAAGGGTCTAGAGAAATCACTGTCTGCCAGAAAACGTTGGGACAACTTCGTGGGGAAGGTAGGATAGTATCTGGACCTGGAATGTAGGTAAATTTGGGTGGGTGAAGAATGGCAGTGTTGAGTTGTTGAAAAAGTATTGGGCTTGAAACCAGACCCAGCTGAGTCACTGAAACCTATGAAGGTCCAACCTCTCTGACCCTCAGTCTCCTCATCTTTAATGGGACTAATAATATCTACCCTGTAGGGTTTCTGTCAGGAGAAAAGTTATATATGTAAAGTGCTTGACACATAGTTGAGATTTAATAAACATTCTTTATAAGTTTCTGGAGGCCAGAAAAGTATCTTCTCTAGCCACACTTCTAGCACAGTGCTTGCTACATAAAGGGGTCTTACTATAGATAATGAATGAATAAGTGAGTGAGGGAATGAATGAATGAGGAAAGGAGAGCATTCCAGACAGGGGAGATAACAGAAATAGTGGCAGGGAGGTTGGAAATCAGCATGTCGCATGGGAAAGGACTGTTGGGATCTTGGTGTGACTGAGCAGGTTTATATAGAGACACGTGTTCGTGGAAATACGTCTGGAAAGCTGGGTCAGTGTTTTTTGGAGGGGTTGGGGAGGAGTATGGGACCAATATAAGGCATTTAAATTAATTACTAAATCAGGGTTAAAAAACTTCTGGTTCAGTTAGAAACTGGGCGAATTCCAGTTTTCAGCACGAACATTTGTGATATAAGCTCCCTGACCTGTTGGGGAAATGATTCCTGCTCTGTCTACCTCAGAAGGCGATACTAATAAGGATAAAAGAAGCCACTAGATGGTAGTACGCGTTGTAAGTTTGTGGCAACATTTCATTGGCTAAAGAAGCCAGTAAAAAAATAAAAACCCTCATTTATCCATGTGGCTATAAAACCAACATGGCTTTAATTCTTTGGACACAATAAACTAAAAAGCTATAATAAGGTGGAATATGTTTCATCAAAAAATATTTTTTCCCTTGCCCTTTTCCTTAATTTGACTATACATAGTTTTCCTTTTTAATTTTCTCAATGCCTAGACGTATACTGTCTAAACCAGTAGCCACTAGCCACATGAGGCTATTTAAATTTAATTTAAAATTCAGTTCCTCAGTCACAGTAGCCACACACTAAATGTTCGGTGGCCATGTGGGCTAGTGCCTGCCATTCTGTCATCGCAGAAAGTTGTGTTGGAGAATGCTGGACTAAACTATATAGAATTGCAGTATGTATGTTTATATATTTTTTAAAATAGTACTTTAGCATTGTTGTGTGTATTAGCTTTATCCTCTCTGACTTTATAAAGCATATAAGTAAAGCATCTTTCTTTAAAAACATTAAGATGTTTTTTACTTATACATGAGCCTCAGTTGATTTCTACTGAGAGCAAGTTCCCCAACCTGACTAAAGTTAATGGATTTTCTTAATTAGGGAAGTAACAGGATATAAAAGATTGAATGATTCAGAGCTTCTAACCTAATTGGAAATGTAATTGATTATGTTTTGCCAGCTGTCATTTCAAGAATGTCTTTTTCTTTTAAGATGCCAAAGAAAACCCTTATGGTGAGGATGACAATAAGAGCCCATTCCCCCTGCAGCCCAAAAACAAACGCAGCTATGCCCAGAATGTGACTGTCTGGATCAAACCCAGTGGCCTGCAGGTAACATTACCACTCCCGTTGCTTTCCACTGGGCACAGGGGGAGGGATTCTGGCAGGCAGGTCGACATCTGATTTGATTTTCCTTTCCTTTGATACTTAGTAATTCATTTACTTCTAACGTTTGTCATTATTTCCAAAAAGGATTTGAGGTAGCCTACAGTAAAACACATATACAAGTATAGCAAAATCCTTTTTACAAAATTTAGAGCAATACAAAACCTAGAGGAAGAGGGGAGACAATTGTGTGTCAGGAACCCAAGGCAAAATGACAATTGTATTTGAGCGATTTGACTCCGAGCTTCCTGCTACCAAGGGCACAAAAGAAATGTGTAGGGTTTTATGTTAGATAGTATTATATGTCTGATAAAAGGAAGCATGTCAGTTCTTCTAGAGAGGCACATTTTTCTGGGATTGAATTTTAGCATAAAATTTTTGACATGCTGAGGCATTGAATAACATAATGGGTGTTATCTTTAACAATTTTTTAGAAAAATGTGAAAGTCTTCATGTAGCTATTTCTTCCATCCCCACAATAGAGCCCAAACCATAGCATTATGCTATAATTCCACAAAAACACTTTCATGGGAAGCTAAGAGTATACTGTGATCAAGGTTTGTTACTTTCAGGCAAGGTAGTCGGTGACATTTCTCCTTCCATTGACAAAGTCATTTATACCTATTTTTTTTTTAAAGCAGTCCATTTCTTTTTTTTTTTTTTTTTTTTT